TCTTTGTGACCCTATGGACTGCAGCACGACAGGCTTCCCTGTCCATCACCGGCTCCCGGAGCTTGCTCAAATTCACATCTATCAAGTCGGTGATGCCATCCAACCATCTTATCCTCTGTCATCCCCTTCTCCTCCTGCCTTCAATCTTTCTCAGCATCAGAGTCTTTTCCAATGAGTCAGGTTTTCACATCAGATGGCCAAAGTATTGGATTTTCAGCTTCAGCATCAGTCCTTCCAATGAATATTCAGGACTGATTTCTTTTAGGATGGACTGGTTGGATCTCCTTGCAGTCCAAGGGACTCTCAAGAGTCTCCTCCAACACCACAGTTCAAAAGCATCAATTCTTCAGCACTCAGCTGGTTATTTATTGATCACATACTATCCCACGCACCTTTCTTTAACATCTTTTAGTTTATGCTCTTCCCAAACAAAGAATCTCCCTCTCTCTTTTTTTGATTTCTAGAAATCTTTATTAAGCTCTTCAAAGAATTTCCATAATCCCTGACTTTAAATGGCTCCAAGTAATTGTGGAGATAAGGCATACAAAACATCTTGTCTGAGATTGGAAGTCTCCACATGCAAATCTCAGACTGTCCCATCAGGACAGGCCTGGGGGTGGACTGGTCCAGAGGCGCTGATGCCTTGCTTGTCATGCGGTGATTTACAGCCCTCTAGTGGGTCCTTATGCAACTTACAAAGGAATGCCAAGAGCAGTGGAGTATGATGGTTCTTTTGTTTGTCCTTCTGCTAGTATTTTCTTTCAATGTAAAATGCCAATTCAGTGCTAACTACCTTCCAGGCATAGTTTGGGTGCTGGAGATACTGCAGTAAACAAAACAAACACCACCACAATCATATACATTAGTTGCTTAAGACGAAGAAGACAGTAAATAGAACAAATTTGGGGCAAAGCTCAAGAGTTTGATTCTGGAATTTTTTTTTTCATTTATTTTTATTAGTTGGAAGTTAATTACTTTACAATATTGTAGTGGTTTTTGTCATACATTGACATATATCAGACATGGATTTACATGTATTCCCCATCCTGATCCCCCCTCCCACCTCCCTCTCCACCTGAAAAATAAAGACCAATACAGTATACTAACGCATATATATGGGATTTAGAAAGATGGTAATGATAACCCTATATGCAAAACAGAAAAAGAGACACAGATGTACAGAACAGAATTTTGGACTCTGTGGGAGAAGGCAAGGGTGGGATGTTTCGAGAGAACAGCATCGAAACATGTATATTATCTAGGGTGAAACAGATCACCAGCCCAGGCTGGATGCATGATTCTGGAATTTAATACATACACATACACATTAGTCTTCCCAGTAGCTTCTTTTAAAAATTAGCTGGTGTCTCTGGGAACACCTGTAGGACACTTGTGAGCAGAATACACATAGTGTTAAAAACCTTTATTTGAGATTTCACCAAATTCAAATTAAAACTAACAACCATAAGCATATTTAGCAAGAAAATTGTGAAGACAGTGAATCAGACAGACCCTGGGCATAGGAGTCTGGTTATAGACAAGTTCAAGCCTTGACCCCACCTTCATGGAGCTGGTCATCTCTTAGTTCTTTCAACATAATTTTCTCTGTTTCTATGTTAGTTCTTTGTTTTTTTTGTTTGTTTGTTTATTTGCTTGTTTTTATTTATTTTAGGCTGAGTTGTGTAGAATGTGGGATTAGTTCCCCAACCAGAGATCAAACTTGTTCCCCCTGCATTGGGAGCATGGAGTTTTAACCACTGGACTGCCAGGGAAGCCCCTGTTTTCTTAATTCTTAGCAGAATTTGGAATGGTTGAATTTCTCTGTCTACTTTGGCATGTCTACTTTCCCCAACTCCAGGACTGCATGTCCGTCCCACTGCCACGGCATCTTCTGCACCTGGAGGGGCCTTGGTTTATATTTGTTGAAGGATAATTAGGTCAGATAATCATCAGATTAGATAAGATAGATGTACGTGAGAAGCCTGTAATTCAGACTATTATATTACACGTTCTGAAAGAGTAAAGAACACAGTTAGTTGTTCTTTTAGGAGATCTCTGTGGGTTGAAGGCAGCCAGGGAAGTTTTAAGGGAAGAAACCGGGCTTGAGCTGAGTCTGAAAGAATGGATAGGATATGAAGGAAGGAGGGAGGAAGTGATGGAGGAAGAGGTATTTCCTTCTAAAGAGTTCCTGATTGCCCTTCACATGCTCTTCAGCCACCAGTGTCTCTTTCTACTCAGTATCTAGTGGTCTCTGCCCAAATGTTCTGCCCCTTACCCCACCCAATGATATGGGTTAACCCCAGCCAGTTATTAGGGCTTGTCATGCCATACCTATATCACTCTGTATCATCTTTGTCTCTTTTTTAATGAACACCCAGCACATTAAGCCTATCATTATATCTGGCACATAGAAAGTACTCAATAAACATTTGTTGAATGAACATATGTGCTTCAGAACCACTCTCCATACTCTTGGGATGGCTTTCCCCCTGGTATTTAGTCTCTCCCATAGGGCTGGAGGCTATTGAAACAAATTCTTAAACGATTATTAATAAACTGCTTTCTTATATTTTCGTTTAATAAAGATTTATTGCATGCTTCTTTTATTACAGGACTTATGCTATCTACAGGGAGCTTGGAGTTGAGCTACTGTGTGATCCATGTAAACAAATAATGATAAACAACAAGTTAACGTGGATTTATGTACAAAGTGGTCTAAGAACACTGCAGATGGAGGAATTGCTTGATGCTTGCATTGTTTCAGGATGCTAGGAAAAGAGTAAAGGGTACAGGAGAAAGCAGAGAAAACTGGCATTGAGTCTTGAAAGACCACCTGTGCCCCCTAGACAGACATCATCGGGGTAGGGGAGTTGTTAAGGGAATGAGATGGACAGTATTACAGACAAATGGAGAAACAGGTGAAAGGGAGGTGGGAGGAGGGAACTGAGAGAGTGTGCTGGGTTTGGGGAACTGGGGCAAAGCAGGAGGGCGTGACAATGGCCAGAGAGAAGGTACAGGAGTGAACGTGAGGCAGGCCAGCAGGAGAATTCCATGGATGTCAACCTTTGCTAGTGGCTCATGCTCAGTCACTCCAGTCGTGTCCAACTCTTTGTGACCCTATGGACTGAAGCCTGCTGGGCTCCTCTGTCTGTGGGATTTTCCTGGCAAGAATGCTGAAGTGGGTTGCTGTGCCCTCCTCCAGGTGACCCTCCCAACCCAGGGATCAAACCTGTGTCTCCTGTATTGTAGGCAGATTCTTTACAGCTGAGCCACCGAGGAAGCCCATCAAATCTTTAAGAGGTACTAAAATTAAAAAATATAAAGCCAATTAACTCAGCCATGTGTGGCGCCTTACATGATTTTTGTAATAGAATGGTTCCATTCCCTTGAGGTAAGACAATGCTCGTGAATATTACTTTAAAAAAAATCTCCTGGCTGGCAATTCCAATTATGTAATATTCAGCACATGTAATGAATTCCTCATTTTTAACATAGAGGATTGTAACTCTTATTAATAGCAAATCAGTTTCCTTTTAATCCCCTGCTGAACAGATATTTAAGCTATTTGTGCATTGCCAAATTATTAGCCTTCTTGTAGTGTATAAATTCCTCCATCCACCCGTGGATAGAGGGCTCCAGGTGCAGTTTCCCAGGTAAAAGGGGGACAATTCCAGCTGGCAGGGTGAGTTGAAAATGTTGGTTTCTGTGTGCACTCAGAAGAGGCTGCATTCAATAAAGTGTTTCAATTAATTATGTGTCTGGCACCTCAGATAACCTATTCAGTAGTCTTTTCTAACAACAACAAAAAACCTTAACAGTCTTAAAGGTAAACCTGACTGTCTCTGCTTTATGTTGTTGTTTAGTCACTAAGTTGTGTCCAAATCCTTTGCGACCCCATGGACTGTAGCCCACCAGGCTCCTCTGTCCATGAGATTTCCCAGGCAAGAATACTGGAGTGGGCTGCCAGTTCCTTCTCAGGGGAGCTTCCCCATCCAGGGATCAAGCCCGCATCTCCTGCATTGGCAGGCACATTGTTTCAGCACTGAGCTACCAGGTAAGCCCACCATATTCTTATAGAACCACCATATTCTTCTGGGTTCAAAACATCAAAGACTTCCATATTCCATTTTCCACCTGGAGATTTTATACACGTCCTCTGCATGTTAAATAGGCCTCTCTAAGTTTGGTGCTCAAAAATAAAGTCTCTCTAGGATGTCTGCACCCTAAAGTCATGTGAAAACTTTAAATCATTATGATGAATATCCACTGTTTTTGCATTGAGTCTTCTCTTCCTCGCTTTTTACGGTTCCGTTTCTTCATGGGAAATAACACTAATTCCTGCATTACAAACCAGACAATACACGTAAAGTGCTTGGCACAATCCCGCAGCAGTATCGGCCTCACTCGCGCACCCTTTAGAGAAGGCAGTACTTTTCATCTCTGCACTCAGCTTTCGCCCAGGATTTAGTATATGACCCCGCCCGGGTTCAGGGGGCGGAAACCTGAAAGCGGAGGGCGCGGGCAGGACGGTGGGGTAGTGTGAAAAGTCAGAGTGCAAAGGTCAGATGGCAGTCGCTGAGGCTGTGCGCCTAAAAGTGAAGAAAGATCTCTGGACTTCGGTTGCCTCGGCAACCTCAGCCGGAGGAGGCACAAGGTGGCGGGGACCGCCCCCCTCCCCCGCTGCAGCTTCCCGTCCCCAGCCCCACCTTAGGCTTTAGCTTCGCCCCTTTCTCCTGGGAGGTTGGGGGCGGAAGTCGACACCGACGCCGACGCGGTTGCCTAGCGATGCCTTTTTCCCAAGAGGCCCAGCGTGTTGTGTTCTTCTTAACCAATTAGAGAGGCGGAGCGGCCTTACCGCGGGCCAATAGGCTGCGAGGCCGGGGCCCGCGACGGTTAAACCGGAGCGGAAGATCGGGGCGGCCGGGCACCGGGGCTGGAGGTTTGTGGGTCGGTGGCTGCGCCTCCGAGGAGCCGGGCCGGCGTCCGGCGCGGGCCCCGCCATGCCGACTCGGGTGGAGGACTACGAGGTGCTGTACACCATTGGCACGGGCTCCTACGGCCGCTGCCAGAAGATCCGCAGGAAGAGCGACGGCAAGGTGAGCGCGGGCCTGGTCCCTGCCTGCGCCCCCCGGCCGCCCAGAGGAAGCGGGGAGCCTGGCGGTGTGCTTCTGAAACGCAAGAGTGCTCAGAAGAGGCAGCCCTTTCTCCTAGATCTGTGTCTGACCCGGGTCTCGCAAGGGATGGGAAGCCGCATCCTTTTTTTTTTTTTTTTTTAATTTGTGAATCTTTCCCTTAATTCTCTGTTGTTGTTCAGTCGCTCAGTCGTGTCCGACTCTTTACAACCTTATGGACTGCAGCACGCCAGGCTTCCCTGTCTTTCACCAGCTCCCGGAGTTTGCCCAAGTTCATGTCCATTTAGTCGGTGATGCCTTCCAACCATCTCGTCCTCTGTCGTCCCCTTCTCCTCCTGCCCTCAGTCTTTCCCAGCATCAGAGTCTTTTCCAGTGAGTCAGCTTTTCTCATCAGGTGGCCGAAGTAAAACTAATAAAATGTGCCAAGTAGAATGTATATATGTATATATATTTTTTCTTCTCCTGTCTTTTTTCCGTTCTCTTCCATTTTCTTCCTTTCTCCTGCTTTGACCTGCCATGGGCCTTCTGTTGGTGACTGGTAACTGACACCTGAGCTGTTTTTAGAGAAGTGTAATTCTCTCTGTCATAACCATCAGAACCTAGAACTTTTGTAGTCAGAATTAATATTTAAGTTACCCATTATCCTGATTGTTAAATTCATATCTCCCAAGGTATGTGGGTAGACCTACACAGAAAAAAAAATAATGGAAAGGAAGTTAGCTCGATGGAGGGGTCTTTACCAAGTTTTCTTACCCTGGAAATCTTGACTAGTTGGAATGGTCGGGGACTTGAACCACCTCTGCTCCAGCTTTGACTAGAGTACCTTCTGCCAACCTCCCACTAGGCATTGAGGTTAGGGGGCTGGGGGCGGCCCAACCTACCTCATCACCCTCTGTTGCATAATTTACTGCTTAAAAATTAGGGGAAGGTGATGGAAATAAACTCAGGGGTCCTCAGTTCATTAAACTAAATTAGATAATAGTGACTGTATGATCTATTTACTAGAGAAGTAACTTTTTTTAATTTTAAAAATTTGGAGTTATAATGAGTTCACTTATAGCTTGGAAATTTTTATTTCAGATATTAGTTTGGAAAGAACTTGACTATGGCTCCATGACAGAAACTGAGAAACAAATGCTTGTTTCTGAAGTGAATTTGCTTCGTGAGCTGAAACATCCAAACATTGTCCGCTACTATGATAGAATTATTGACCGGACCAACACGACACTGTACATTGTAATGGAATGTTGTGAAGGAGGAGACCTAGCTAGTGTAATTTCAAAGGGAACCAAGGAAAGGTAAGATAAATTCATCTCTTAAATGGGCCTAGTTTTGTTTCTGTAAGCATCCTATATTAGGATCAGGGACAAAGTACTTAGTAATGGGGAAGAGTCTTCTTGTGTTTGTTCGATGGGTCCACAGTACTTTAGAAAATCCCTGGTAAGTCAACACTTGAATTTCATATCCAAATAATTTATTTCCCTATGTGTATACTTAGCAAACTAGATAATTCACATCCTTTCATCTTTGTAATGGTTTTATTCAGCAGATACATACTACATAACTGCTTTGATTTCAGACAATACTTGGATGAAGAGTTTGTTCTTCGTGTGATGGCTCAGTTGACTCTGGCTCTAAAGGAATGTCACAGACGAAGTGATGGTGGCCACACTGTGCTGCATCGGGATCTGAAACCAGCCAATGTCTTTCTGGATGGCAAGCAGAACGTTAAGCTTGGAGACTTTGGACTAGCTAGAATATTAAACCACGATACGAGTTTTGCAAAAACATTTGTTGGCACACCTTATTACATGTCTCCTGTAAGTATTTCAAAATTTATATACTTTTAAAACATCTTAATGCTAAGCATTCAAGCAAGGAAATTGAGCTTTTTGTTTATTTCTTTGTTTAGTAGTATCTAATAGCCAAGAATTAATAATACTGTTTTATTTTAAATTGATATTTTTCAAATGGACCACCAGACCATTGAAAGATTTTTTTTTTTTTTGATGTGGACCATTTTTAAAGTCTTTATTGAATGTGTTGCAATATTGCTTCTGTTGTTTATGTTTTGTTTTTTTGGGCACAAGGAATGTGGGATCTTCGCTCCCCAACCAGGGAGCAAACCTGCACTCCCTGCATTGGAAGGCGAAGTCTTAATCATTGGACCCCCAGGGAAGTCCCACCACCAGACCACTAAACTCCTATATCAGCAATGCAAGTCAGACTTTCACTGAATGTGCTGCCATGTGCTAAGCTCTGGGATCATAGAGATGAAATAGGTTTTGTCTCTGCCCTTACGTACAGTACTTCCCAAAGTGCCATAGGTCCTGGACGCCAGCTTGTTCTCAGCTGGAGGGATAGTTTAAAATGCAGGGTCCTGGGCTCCAATCCAGGGACTTAGGCCCTCTGGACAGGTCTTTGCACTCAACTTTTTGTCTTTTTGTCCCCCACCTTTTTATTTTGGACTCTGTATTTTAACAGACACCCTAGATGATTTTTGTATGTGGAGATTCAGGACCCAGGAGACTCACTCACTTCTCACAGCATATTTTTGCAGTGTTAACCTTTAGTATTTGTTCTTTTTTGTTGTTGTTGCCTTTTCCTACTGTGGAGGTACTGTTTCCACCCACTTACTGGTTTCCTCAATTGCTGGATATTTTGTTTTCAAAATGTCTTACTATTCTAAGGAGGACTGCTATGTATATCTTTGTAGGAATTATTCTTTCTTCTGCTTTGGTTATTTCCTTGGTGTATAGCTCTCAAAATGAAATTGCTGTGTCAAAGGATATGAACTATTTATGGCTCTCTAGTGACTTTTGGGACTTCCCTGGTAGCTCAGTTGGTAAAGAATCCACCTGCAATGCAGGAGACCCTGGTTCGATTCCTGGGTTGGGAAGATCCCCTGGAGAATGGATAGGTTACCCACTCCAGTATTCCTGGGCTTCCCTGGTTGACTCAGATGATAAAGAATCTGCCTGCAATGCAGGAGACATGGGTTTGATCCCTGGGTTGGGAAGATCCCCCTGGAGGAGGGCATGGCAACCCACCCCAGTATTCTTGCCTGGAGAATCTCCACGGACAGACGGGCCTGGTGGGCTACAGTCCATTGGATCACAAAGAATTGGGCACAACTAAGTGACTAAGCATAGCACGGTGGCTTTTGAAAAGCTTGAAACAATAAGTGATAGCACCAATCAATGTGTTGAATACAAAAGATGAGCAGAATAAAGATGGAGAGAGATTTATTTTTTTTAGCAGTTCACAAACACTTCCAGATTTTCTTTCTTTTTTTTAAATGCCAAGATAAGAAACTATTATAGAGAGAAGAAAAATTTCTCATCCAAAATATAGAAATCTGTACAACTTTGCCACAATCAATATACATGAACTGTACAAATTTACACTAGTTCATAATTTACCAAATAAAAGATGACTAACAAAGTTCACAAAATAGATGGTGGTTTGTGGAAAAGACTTTTACCCAATTAAGTACAAGGAGAGTTACAAACCAGACCTCCACTTTCTAAAAATAAGTTTACTCAGTCTTAGAAAACTACAAGCTAGCAAATGTACAGAGAGCTGGCTGGTGCTAACACCACAGTTGAGACAGTGTCTTTTTAAGGGTCTTTTTTTTTTTTTTTTAAAGCCTGTTGCCAAGGCCGATTCTGGTCACTTGCTACTTTCAAGGCCAAAAACACAATACAAGGTCTGACCATTTCCCCAGGTCATGCTTACTAGTTTTGTCTTATATACATTTATACATATTTAAGTGCTAGGTAAAAGTCTTGTCATAAAATTTCCAGTACTACCATGTTTAAAATGTTGAGCTTTCCTATTGAGCTGCCAAAAAGGATAACAACTTTTAAGTGTAATAGTGCAAATTTTCTCTGCAAGTTCTACTGCAGAGAAATACAGATTTGCATTAAAGGGACTGACGTAAAAATTTAGGTATCATGTCTGGGAGAAACTGAAACCATCCTAGGACTTCACTCCTAGCAACAGATTTTCTAAATCTTTTTGTTAACCAATCTGACTACAGTATACAATTTTATAAATTAATGATTTTGTTTTTGACTAAGATCAGATATGGCCAGAACAGTGTCATTTTCTCACTGGATCAGATTCCAAATAGAAGCCAAGGAAAATTATCCTGGGGTGGTGGTTGGAAAATTTGAAACCTGTGCAGTTGTTTTGTTCCTGTTCCCTCCTGTCCCTGTAATTAGATCAGTTGAGCCTTCCCTGTGGGATTGATTGTCAGGAAGTAGTGCCAGACTCACCTGTTGGGCTTTAGAATACTCAGAAGCCTCCTGAAGGTTTCAGTACGGTGCTTGCCTCCTTGTCCTCTGTTGAAAATCAGAGCCATGGCAGATAGTTAAAATAGGCAATGAGATTATTAGTTAGTACTGTGGTATATGCAGTGGACTAAGGGAAAAATACATAAATGGGTGATTCAATTAATCATTAATGCCTATATCCATTTAAATGTGAGATAGATGTTATCCTAGACTTTCCTCTGGTTCGGGGGTTCAGGATGGGGAACACGTGTAGATCCATGGCTGATGGCAGAAACCACTACAGTATTGTAAAGTAATTAGCCTCCAACTAATATAAATAAATGAAAAAAAAATTTTTTTGAACGAAAAAAAATAAAATAATTTACTCCGTTTAAAAAAAAAAAAAGAGAGTTTCTAGATTATGAATTCCTTGAGGTAGAGATGTCTCATATTCACCTTTGAATTGCCAGTGCCTTGCCTGTAGTAACACAATAAATATTCGTGAATGAAAAATAGATGAATGAATCATATATGACAAAGTGTATTAGGATAAGATCATTGCCTTTTTTCCATTATCAATTTAGTTAAAGTACCATCTTATGATGTAAGACCTAATGTAAGAGAAATCAACTTTTTGTATTTGAAACTTTTGTTATAGATATATTTATAATATAAAAAATTTCCTTTTTTTTGAGTGACTATTATCAAACTTTTTTCATTTTTGTCCCAGGAGTAATTTTATGTTTTTTTTAAATTTTATGTTTTAAACCTTTTTAAAAAACTATTTTATTGAAGTATAGTTGATTTATAATGTGTTAATTTCTGCCATGCAAGAAGGTGATTACTCTTTTTTATATACACACACACACATTCTTTTTTATATTCTTTTCCATTATGGTTTGTTACAGGTTCTTGACTGTAGATCCCAGTGCTATGGAGTAGGAGCTTGTTTTTTATCCATCCTCTATGGAATAGTTTGCATCTACTAATCCCAAACTCCCAGTCCTTCCCTTCCCCTGCTTCCCTTCTGGCAACTACAAGTATGTTCTCTGTGTCTGTGAGTCTGTTTTAAAGCAAAGTAAACTTTAAACTCCTCCTTTCTTTCCCCATGAAAGGAACAAATGAATCGCATGTCCTACAACGAGAAATCGGATATCTGGTCACTGGGTTGTTTGCTGTATGAATTATGTGCGTTAATGTAAGTATGGTGAAGACAGGTTTCTAGTCTGAGGTCTATGCTTAGGTCTGTCACCTTTGACTGGGTTCAGCTTTTTGAGCATCCGTGCACATTCAAGTCTGAAAGAGTCACACCTTGGATTCAAATTAAGGTAGATGGGCAGGTTAAAAAACGAGTTACAAATTAATAACATAAGCCCTGAGGCTGAATCGAGACTTCTCAAGCTTGTGACCTGGTTAGGTGCCTCCCTGTCAGGCTGAGTTTAGCTCGCAGGGCGAGCACACAGGTCAGGCCTGTGGAAGAAAGGAAATGAAGGTCCGGTCAAGTGGTCTGGGGTTTGGACCGGACGGAAGCCTGCTTCTTTCCTTTGTTCTTTTCATTTTCCATTCTAAACTCTTCTGTAGAGCAAGGGGTCTCAAGCAGGGAAGGGGGATTTCACCCCCTCAGTTTTGCTTCCCATGGGATACTTGACAATGTCTGGAGACATCTTAGTCGTCACAACTAGGGACAGCTACTGACATCTAAGGGACAGGGATCAGCATTGCCGCAAACTGTAATAAGGATGAACAGGACTGCACCCGTAACAGAGCTGTGGGCTCCAAATGTCAGTATGCCAAGGATGGGAAACTTAGCTACAGAAGAAGCTCCCAGAGGTAGAAACATAAATACAAACTGGACCTTAAACTCTGCTTTTGATTTGCTTCATATTATATATTTTCATTTTTACATTGAAAAAAATTTTTTTTTTCTCTTCAGGCCTCCATTTACAGCTTTCAACCAGAAAGAACTAGCTGGGAAGATCAGAGAGGGCAAATTCAGGCGAATTCCATATCGTTACTCTGATGAATTAAACGACATTATTGCGAGGATGTTAAATTTAAAGGTAAAGTTTATAAGATGACATACGTTTTCATGCCTCAGTTAAGTTTTGCAGTGTGTGCTGTCGTGGAGCAAGGAGACTGAGGCAACATTAAATAGATTTCCTTAGCTGATAAATCTGCTCTGTTAACACAAGTGAAAACATGCATCCTTGGCGCATTGCTGGCTGCCCATCTCCGCTCTCTTTATGTCTCCTCCCACGCTCTGCCCCACTCACGGGTGGCTGGTAGCTGGTAGCAGTAAGGATTCAGAGCCTCAGTCCCCTTGTCCTTGCTTACCTCAGTGCAGCAGATAGTGCAGGAAGGGGCCAGAAATAATAAGATCTTATTACTCTGCTCTAACTCGGAGAGATTAGAGACCATGAGAGATGGGAATGGTGGGCGGGGAGGGCTGAAAGAGCAGAGGGGAAATAACTCAGACTGTAGAACAAACCTGGCGGTGGGAGGGGGAGAGATGGGGCTGGTGTAAGAATTGAGGTCCGTGCTGTGGGAGTTCAAAGAGAAGGGTACAAGTGAAGTAACAGGACTGGAGGTCAGGGAGAGCGTATCCTGCTTAATAGGGTTTAGAGACGCACAGACAGTGGGTGCCCTCAAACGGACCCTGGCAGTGCTACCCAGCCCAGCACAGGGGCTGAGCCTTCTTAGGTTAAAAGGGGAGCAAAGGTAATTAAAATCTGCATCGCTTTGTGGACACAGAGCCTCCTGAGTTAAAGCCACCAGCGAATGTACTTTTCTGGTGTTTAAGACGCATCTATGTGGGGAGGGGGCAGTGGGCAAAATGGGTGAAGGGGGCCAGTTGCATGGTGATGGATGGTAGCTGGAATTGAGTCAGGGATCTCTCTAGTGTACACAGATGTTGAGCTGTAACACTGCACACCTGATTTTTTTTTTTAAAAGCCACCTGTAAAGGAGCCTTTTCTTTTGCTTTGGAATATATGCTGTTTTAAATGTCACTGCTCTTTCAGGATAAGTAGTCCGTCCATTATGAAGTCTGCCCGTAACACCGAGTCTTTTTCCCCCCAGGATTACCATCGACCTTCTGTTGAAGAAATTCTTGAGAATCCTTTGATAGCAGACTTGGTTGCCGAAGAGCAAAGGAGAAATCCTGAGAGAAGAGGGCGGCGATTAGGAGAACCAGAGAAGCTGCAGGACTCCAGCCCTGTGTTGAGTGAGCTGAGACTGAAGGAAATACAGCTACAGGAGCGGGAGGCAGCCCTCAAGGCCAGGGAAGAAAGCTTGGAGCGTAAGTCTGGGGGGACAAAGCCTAGCACTCCCAGAGGCTGATCCTAGTGTGTGAACGTCTACGTGAACACAGGGTCTCGTGTCTGTGTCTCGTAGGGCGTTTTTATAAATACTTGCACAGCCGGAATCCCTACATCAGGCTTGCCGTACCTCCGTGCTGAGCCTCTTTCTCCGAGATCAGCCGCTGTCATCATGCGGTCAGGCCCTAACTGTGACAGGCCGGCACAGGAGTCATCACCCCGCCCTCTAGGGCCACTGTTTTCTTTTCTTCCTTAACTTACGGGCCCTAAGGTTTCCCACTGTAAAGAATCTCTTAGAATTCGCCACCTTCCAGAATCAAAGCTGTCGTCTCTCCCTTCTGACACGCCGCTGCAGTGTGGTCCAGCTCGAAAATCGCACAGTGTATAAGACAATAGGTGTTCGGGTCATTCCTTAGAGGCTGTGGATACAAGATGTTTAAATACTCTGATGGGTGTTGACGGACGCAGGAGTTTTTGATGTTGAAAGTCTGTTGAGGCCTCTGAAGTGAGAGCTGCTAGCCAGGTGTGGGGGTTCCACAGGGCGACCGCAACGGTAGGGCTCTGCCTTTTGACATGGAGGGAAGAGAGACCGTGACCATCTCTTCTGCAGCTTTACGCCAATGCACATTCACTTATGAATGTACTTATATTTAATTTTAAATGCACTTATAAAGTACTCTATTTAAATGTACTTATAAAGCACCCAAATGCATTAGTTAATGTTTTACTTCCTCATAATCATCGAGGACTGTGAGATACACTCTCTGCAGGAGGAACAGCTTGTGCTTGCCTGAAAATCTAAGTCTCTTCTGTTAAAGGCATTCTTTAAAAAAAAGAACCCACAAAAAACAAGCAAAAAATTTTTTTTTTTAATCTTTCCTCAGTGTTCTGTAATTTCATGTAGCAGCTGAAATCTGAACTCTCTAAATGCTGGGCCATGAAAAAATAATACCTTTGTTACTGATCTAAAGAAGTAACACCTCACTGCACTGTGTTTTTCCCTTCCCTTTGGCGCTGTTGTTCACCCGGAGGGAGGGGGTTTGGGCCGAGTAACGCCCGGAGAAGGAACTGTCGGCCCCTCCCAGGGGCGGGCAGGGTGGCAGGAGCTCTGGGTGCTCCCCCGTGAGTTATCCCCACACACCACGACCGAAAGTTGAAGCTGGCTTTGTCCTGTGTTTAAGCTGGTCCTTAGGAGGAAACCTAAGACAACACACAATATACGAACACACTGGGTTATGACACGGGGACCGTCCAGTTGACGAGTGTACAGTAAGAAACCCTTCACTAAACGTGACTCATTGGCGGTCAGGCTGCCAGCCTCACGATAAGGAAAAGCAGTAAGATAACCAAACGTGAATGGTTTACATCCAGAGCCACTTGTTCATTTCTGTCTATTTTGTTCCGTTTCCTTTTTAAAGAGAAAGAACGTGAGCTTTGTGTCCGTGAGAGGCTGGCAGAGAACAAGCTGGCCAGAGCAGAAGGTCTGCTGAAGAATTACAGCCTGCTGAAGGAGCAGAAGTTCCTGTCTCTGGCGGGCGGCCCAGGTATGAGAGCCAGCTCTGAGCAGGAGCTGCTGTCTGCTTTAGTTTTCTAGGGTCCTGAGCTGTGAGATGCACTCAGTTGAGTGGATGTGGTTCAGCGGAGGTAAGAACTCTGCTCTTGCCGTGGCTGACTCTCTGGGATCAGAGACATGAGCCTGTGCATAGGGATGAGGTCATCTTCAGTTTTGTTCACTTTGTCAAACTACACATGCAGTATTTGATATTTATTTTTAAAAATTAGGTCATAAAAAATTGCTGTGTCTTTCTGATTTTTCTCCGAGTATATTATCAGAATTCTACATTTCTCTCCCTTTCCAAGTTAAAGTCCCAGCATTTTACTATTGCCGCATGACCAACTAACACTTGGCACATCCTTCCCAGAAACTGTGGCTTAAAAGGGTGGCAAACCCAACTGTAGAACAGGCCATCACTTTTAGGTCTTTGCTAAGACCCATTCCAGTTGCATGTATATGTCAAAATGTGATTGTTTAATATCTACATATGCTCTGTAATAAGCAAGGGAGATAAATGAAACTAGTGATGGAAGGTAAGTATCTTTTTTCTCAATATGACTATCTACCATTTCAGTATTTTTATAATATTTATTTCAACTTTTCTTAGATTCTACACTGCCATCTATAAAGACAAACTAGACATAAATCATGATAGAATGAGGAATAATTTTTATCTGGGTGAGTTTCATGCATCCGGCCCATTGCTGAGAATTCTTGAAGATGCTGTTGGGGACGGCTCTTCCAGTTAGAGTTTATTTCTGTCTTTCCCAGAGAGTCTTTGAGCAGAGGGTGAGAAGTCCCGGAGAGGAATGCTATATTTCACTTTGTAGGATATGTAGGTAGAAGAATTCACCTGTGTGCAACTCATGGCAAAGACTTAAAATGAGCTGTGAGGATGCAGTTTCCAGTGTGGGTCGGAGATACTTTGAAGAACCGAACTTGTCAGGACCTAAGAAGAGCATTGCCTCAGTGGACGTGAGCTTGAGCAAGCTCCAGGAGATGGTGAAGGACAGGGGCTCCCGGAGGGCTGCAGTCCTTGGGGCCACCAAGAGGCAGACCTGTCTGAGCGACGCAACACCAACCAGAGGAGCAGCAAGGCAGTGGGGGCGGGGGCGGGGGCGCCCTGGTGAGCCCAGGACGGCTGGCAGTGCCCCCTCCTCATCCTCAGGCGCTAGAATTCAGCCGTGAGAAAAATAAGTTGAGATCATCACAGCAACAGCATCTTTTGAAAGCACTCCTCAGTCTATTTAATGAATGCTAATTCTCTTTCTATTTAATGAAATGCTAACTCATTTTCTAAAGACTTCCTTCTTCTAAAACCATTTCATTAGTAGGATTTACAGTTGGCACTGTTGCTCCTCAAACGGGTAGCTATTTGTGGTAATAAAGGTGGATCTATTTGAAACCATGGCGTCGAGGCCTAAAAGCAGTCTCCTGAACTGCTTTGTGGAGAAAGAGTGTGTGAGTAGGAGGTCAGAGCGCGGCGTTCCTCTGTGCAGCCTGCCCCTCTCTAGGAGCCTTTCCGCATCTCTGGTCGGGGTGTTCTCCAGATAGTCACGAGGCTTCCTCCCTCCTCTCTGTCCTCAGGTCTCCGCCCAGAAGTCACCTTACTGCTGTCATCGCTGCAAACACCCCCAGAACTTCTATCTCCCTTTCCCCCCACCCCCAGCATGCACCACCTTCAAATATTCCTTGTATGGACTTGTTTATCTGTTTATGCTGTCTCCTCCTGCCACAATAGGGCCTCTGTTTGGTCCACAATGGTCCATACAGTAAGCTCAGCAAATATTTGAACATATTTCCTTTAAATGAACACAAAGGAGAAACAAAAGTTTCTGGAATTCAAACCTGCCAGTCCCCAATGCCCAAATAATCCTGTTAGTTCCTAATAGTGCAGCCACTTTAAGTAAATTATTTTTCTTCCCATTAAAAGTACAATTCACATTTTTCACTCTCTGTTCATTTGATTTACTTTTATTGTGCTGAATTTGCTTAGGTTCTTTTTGAAACAAGTTTCTGGTGAGTTAAACATTTTTAAAACATGTTCTTAAGTATTTAGCCAAAACTGTTCCATACTTACCTGGAAGTAATGTGTTCCAGGTAGAATGGCACTTGTTTTCAAGAATAGAGATAAGTAACATTGATTTCCACAAGTTTTATATTGTGGCCCATAATCTTCAGTGCATTTAACCTTAAGAGGAAAGTTGATAAGAGAGTGAAGCACACGTTCCTTGATTTTTGGCTACAGATTAGAAGGCCGATTGACTCCTGCCAGCTGCAGCCCCTGACCTATTAAAAAAGAGACAACAGGTCCAAAACAAGTCGCCTGCTCAGTTGTGTCCAACTCTTTGCAACCCCGTGGCATGTAGCCCACCAGGCTCCTCTGTCCATGAAGTTTTTTTTCTAGGCAAGAATACTGGAGTGAGTTGCTGTTTCCTCCTCTGACCCAGGGATCAAACCCACATCTCCTGTGTCTCCTGCACTGCGGGCAGCCCATCCAAAATGGAGTCACTTGTCACCAACCATCATCAAATCAAGACTTAATGCTTAATTTCATCACAGTTTCAGCCTCTCCCAGGAATGGAATCTTAAACTAGTCAGTCTGGAATTACCTGGTCAGCACGAGTGAGGTCATTTGCCTAATAGATCCCTGCTGTCCCCTAAAGGAAAGTGACCTTGCCACAGGCAGTCCCCTCTCACTGCTATCACTTCCTCATCCCGCGCCCTCCTGCCTGTAAAAGGCTTTCCTTTTGTACAGCTCCTTGGAGCGCCTTTCTGTCTGCTGGATGCGATGTCCCCAGTCATGAGTCGTTGAATAAAGCCAGTAAGATCTTTAACACGCAGTTCAGCATTCCTGTCCCAGAGAGAATGACAGGTACCCAGGTTTCACACATGAACTGAGAGATTCAGTATGTTCAGTAAGTTTGGTTAAGTGTAGAGGAGCCGAATGCCTGTTCACGTAACTCAAGCCCCTTTTTCTTTTTTCTTTCTGAAGAACTGTTTGATCTCCCATCGTCGATCGTGAAGAAGAAGGTTCACTTCAGTGGGGAAAGTAAAGAGAACGTCATGCGGGGTGAGAATTCTGAGAGTCAGCTCACCTCCAAGTCCAAGTGCAAGGACCTGAAAAAAAGGCTTCACGCCGCTCAGCTTCGCGCTCAAGCCCTGTCGGACATTGAGAAGACCTACCAGCTGAAAAGCAAGCAGATCCTGGGCATGCGCTAGCCGGGCCAGAGACGCGGACCTGCGCAGAGTACTTACCAGCCGAAACGCGGGCAGACCCTGGGCATGCGTTCGCCGGGCCAGAGACGCGGACCTGCGCAGAGCACTGCGCGTCGCTGGCGCTTTCTAGATGAAAAATGGGCTGCTGTAACCTGTTTCCGTGGTTCCGAGAGCCGCACCTTTTCTAGAGTCGGCAGGATATTTGGGTATTAATCCTGCAATCCTCCAGCACCAATTGTACCAAAGTCCACACCTTGCATTTTTCTTCCTTTTGTAAAGAACACTTCATAGAAAGAATAACACTTTCTTGGCCGGTTGGGCTTTTAATCCTGTGATTACTACTGGAACATGAAATGTTATATTCTTTTTTTTGGGAAATGTTATAAATGTAGGGTGATGGGGAATAATATTAGGAAAAGATATTGACTCAGGAGCAGTGCTTACTGAGACATTTTAAGGGACTGAATGGTGTGCTTACAGCTGTCGTGTCTAGAGGTTTTAAATGTTTTTTAATAAAAGTCTGAGGTTTTAAATGTTCTTAGCTTAGAGAAACCCTAACTGGATATAGATTGGTCACTAATACCTTGACATCTAGCTTATAAATACCCACTGCTCTGCGGGAGGATAGGGAAGAGAATGTGATGTTCCCAAAAGCAGTACAGTGGTGTTTTTTTTTTTCTTTTTATTCTTTTTAGCAGTATGTGAGCTTTCATTTGTCCACCTCTTTCTCACTAAATAAAAGAATTCTTTAGTTTTCCTATATCCAGTGTCTCTTGTATAGGTTGATCGTAGTTAGTAGTTTGCATGGGAGGCGAGGAAAGAGAATGTGATGGTCCCAAGGGCTGTGTGATCACTTGACTGCCTGATTGTCTGTCCATGTAAACGGGTGGTCCTCACCAGGGGCAGTGCGAGGCCTGGAGATGTTTTCAGTTGTCGTGGTTGGAGGGAGGGTGTTGCTAAACACCCTGCATCCCCACGAGACGGTCCCCACAGTTGAATGTCAGAGCGCCACTCCTGAGACACCTGCTCTCAGCGAACACTTGTTGGAATATCCCCCACCAAAACTGATTTTGGTCTTGATGGATTTTTTGTTTTTTTTAAAGCTCTGACTTGTAATATGAATTAGCAGTCCTTGCTGTGCCCATTGCATTTTTCATGTGATGTTTTCCTGCCAACGCTAATCCTTTTAGCTTAATGAAGTAAGACCAAGTTATGAAGAGTTATAATAAATAGGAAAAACAACTCCTTCATTAGCTATTTTCGTTGTTCAGTTGCTCAGTCATGTCTGGCTCTTTGCGACCCCATGGACTGCAGCATGCCAGGCTTCACTGTCCTTCACTGTCTCCAGAGTTTGCTCAAATTCGTGTCCATTGAGTCGGTGATGCCGTCCAACCATCTCATGCTCTGTCGTCCCCTTCTCCTCCTGCCTTTGATCTTTTCCAGCATCAGGGTCTTTTCTAATAAGTCGACTCTTCACATCAGGTGGCCAAAGTATTGGAGCTTCAGCATCAGCATCAGTCCTTCCAAAGAATATTCAGGGTTAATTTCCTTTTAGGATTGACTGGTTTGATCTCTTTGCTGTTAGCTATTTTATTACAGGTTTATTACACAGTTGATAGTGTAGTTCCAGCAAAGATATAATATTATTGCAATACAATCAAACTGGTTACAGTGCCTTCATGGTATACCCACAGATTAATCCTAACAGGACCACTTTGATGTCAGTGTTGAGTATAATTTGCAGGGCCCAAAGCAAAATAAAAATGTGGAGCTCCTTGTTCAAAAAGCAGGAAATAAGTACCATTAAAGGTACATAGAAAGCCTCGTCCTTTCTTCCAAAATCTGTCTGCTTAAATTGTGGTGTTATTTGCTGTTTAATTCCTTGAGAAAAATTGAAGTTTTAAATTATTAGCATGAATGTTGCTATTCATCTTTTATATTGTGTGATGCCAGTTTTAAGTGCAGATAGCACATTTAGCTCATCAGCAGAATCACTGAAATTATATAACTCACATTTGGTGACTCATCCGGGAGGGTGCCTCAGGCTGGCCAGAAGAGACACATGCGTGTGACGGGCGTCCGGGGGGCCCGTGACTCTGAACAAGCCCGACACGCTGTCAGGTTGGAGGAGTCGAGCCCACAGCCCCAGCTGCAGCAGGTAGATCACCCTCCAGCCAGACTTTCTGTGTACCTCGAGTGGGGTGTTTGGATCACCCCTGCCAAGAGAAGGCGTCTAGCTGGCTGCCCACCCACCACGCGATGGGGCTGCCAGCCCAGGACGGGGTAGGCATTGGGAGGCACTGCTGCCATCCTCTGTCCTGAGAGGCTTCTGGGCATCCTCCACTGCCCATGCCCAGGACCCCTCTGGGAGCAGAGGGGAGGCCGGGTGGGGCCTGGTGCACCAGGGGTGGGGGACTTGGCGGCAGACCCATGCCTGAGCTGAGGCTCTGAGCCAATATCTGCACCATGGTCCTCCTGGACATGACTTACGAAACACGAATTCAACGGCAATATGGCTTTCAAGATTACAAACACAGAGCATTAGACTCCAGGTAGTAGTCGTAGCATAGGTCGCTCAGTTGTGTTCGAATCTGCGAGCCTATGGACTAGCCCGCCAGGCTCCTCCATCCATGGAATTCTCCAGGCAAGAATACTGGAGTGGGTTGCCATTTCCTCTTCCTGGGATCAAACCTGGGTCTCCCACATTGCAGGCAGATTCTTTACCCTCTGGGCCATCAGGGAAGCCCTTTCTAAATGCCAGGCCCTTCCATAGTGTGGAGCCTATGTGACTGCACTGGCCCCATACTCATGAAACCTAAGGTAGGAAAGGAGCTTTCTTTCCTATTTTTAATCCTGTGGCACGCTGAGAGCTTCTCTGGTTTCTCCCATCTTAAAGTCCATCTTTGTTTTCATTCCTTCCTTTAGTCAATCAGTAAGTTACTGAGCACCTACTACAGCCAGGCACTGTTGAAGGTCCAGCATGAAAGTGAAAGTTTAGTTGCTCAGTCGTGTCCGACTCTTTGCGACCCCGTGGACTGTAGCCCACCAGGCTCCTCTGTCCATGGGATTCTCCAGGCAAGAATACTGGAGTGGGTTGCCATTTCCTTCTCCAGGGGATCTTCCCAACCCAGGGATCGAACCCAGGTCTCCCGCATTGCAGGCAGACGCTTTAACCTCTGAGCTACCAGGGAAGCATGGAAGACCAAAATCCTTGCCCTCAGGGAGATGCCATTCAAACGGGGCAAGAGAGTAAACAGACAAGAAACATGTGTGGGAGTTAGTGCTAAGTGCTATGGAGAGGAATTGAAGCAGGAGAGGGGTGGAGGAAATGGGGGTGCAATCACAGAAGGGGTGGTAATTAGTCCTGCAGAAGTTAGGGTTGAAGCGGGGTGGAGGGGGAAATCAGGAAGGTTTGAGTGGGGCATGGGGTCGGGAAGAGATGCCGTAGAGGAGGGGGAAGTTGAACGTGTCTGGGAGATGAGATCTGGCAGGACTTGAAAGCAGGCAGAGGCTTGGGAACTGAGATGTCTTTATTTGCTTATGCATCTCCACCCCTAAAGCTGGGGACATCTGGGGTATTTGGGCAATGATAATATAGTAATCTAAGAACAGGATCTCTCTGGTGGTGGAGAGGGCAAGAGTCCTCCCAAATGATGCTTCTCCAGCATGTAGGGGCTTCTCTGATGGCTCAGGCGGTAAAGAATCTGCCCACAATGTGAGAGACCCAGGTTCTATCCCTGAGTTGGGAAGATCCCCTGGAGGAGGGCATGGCAACCCACTCCAGCATTCTTGCCTGGAGAATCACACGGACAGAGGAGTCTGGCGGGCTGCAGTCCATGGGGTGGCAAAGAGTCAGACGCGACTGAGCGACTAACACTTGTCACTTTCTTTTTTGATAATGGAGAGGGCAGAGTCCTCCCAAATGATGCTTCTCCAGCATCGCTTTCTAAAATCATTCTAAGGTGCTTTGCATGACATCAACACAGTACTTACCATTACAAACTTTGAATGTTTAAACAATGATGAGTTTCACCAAGCACAACCTGCTTCTAGTCATGTGAAAAAGAGGCGCTGGTTTTGAGAAAGACCAACTTCCTGCTCTGAGAGACACCTACCACAAGCTGGCGCCATGGAGCTGTTATGCCAGCAGCGCACCCTTTCCATCCGGCCCCATGCAATTGTCTGTTACTGAGAAATCACATGTGGGCCTTGGTTAAATGCCTCGTTCTCATTATTACATTCAGTCCTTGCAACACCCCCTGAGAAGTTCACATCATTAGTGCCACATGTTACACGGGGGAACTGAAGCGCAGAGACCACAGCTGGGAAGAAGCACAGCTGGTTTCTGAAATGATGTTTTTAACTCCAAAGTGGTTCTCTTGACTACAACCCTGCTTGCCTCCACAAGAGGTTAGCTTTCCTCCCAAACCATCTAGTTTCCCCTAATGATGAGTTAAGGGTGATAATCCATAACCTTACTCAAGACATTTGAATTATTTGATGGACCCAGATTCAGCATGGTTCCGGCCCAGGGGCCTTCCAGAACTGTGGGCTGTGAAAGACTGGTTACTGATGGGATGGGTGAGGAGGACCCACGAGGGGTTTTCAAGTGACCCCAGGAAGACCCCAGGCCTCCCCCCTCTTTCCTCAGCATCTTCTCCAGGGCCACCTTATTCAGGCCTGTCCTCCTTGGAGATACCTTGTTTCCAATCTGCCTTCCTTGCAAAATAAAGCCCATTTTCCTCAAAGACACCAGGGGGGCTGTCCTCCCAGAATGAACTGAGGATGAAAGCCAAAGATGGTACCAAGCAGCTGATGAGGAAAGAATAGAGAGAATGTCTTTATTCTAACAGGAAGGATTATCATTCACTGGACTTGGTGGCTGGGAAAATAGGGATCCGTAGGGGATGGACAGATTGCACAGCGAGGAGAGTGATGAAAGCTGATGGAATCCATGGGCATGTGAGGGCCCGCCTTCTCGTAACCTCGGCTCACCCCACCTT